ATAAAAATAATTTGTTTTTTTTCTTAAAAAATATTATTATATTTTAAAGCTAGACAAATAAAAATGCTTTTGTTAAACATAATAAAATTTAAATTATTAATTAAATTCTTCAAAACAAATATCATTCGTGAAATTAGTTTAATAATATTTTTCCTTAAAAAATGAAAAATTTAATTTGTCAATCAAAATTACAATTTATAGGTAAAATTATTAGCTTGATTATTATTAAAGCATCATCTAATTTTACTAAAGCCCACAGAAGCTCTCATTTATCATAATATTATTGCTTCAAGATGTGTCGAATGATTGATGTAAATATATATATATCTTGCACGAAGTCTATATTAATAATGGACTCATAAATCATTTATATCTAATTAGGAACCAATATCTAATTCTATGACATGTAACAGGCAACAGCATGTGTAGCCCTTAGGATATATGCTATCTACAATATGTATAGTGCTTGATAGATAGACAGCATCTGATTACCTTCAACACCTTTCTCTTTACATATTTATAAGTTAAATATATTTAACTCATATATATATGTAACTTTTAAACTGACTAATTTAATTAAGATATTTGTCTTTTTTCTGTTTACGCTTTTAATAATGAATTTAAACTCATAAATTAATTAGATTTTTATATATCTAATTGAATTTTCGCTAAAAACTAAATATATACTCGTACATATATTTTTCTCATATTCAATCGAAAATTCTGATATAGCCACCACTTGAAACTGGCTTTATAAGTTGCAGTCTGTTATATAACTGTAACAATCAGAACGACCGATAAAAGCAATATTTTCTGATTCCATTTTGAAAAATACGAAGCAACATATAAGAATATATCAAAATTTTATTTTTATTATATTTTAAGATATTGTAAATATCAGTAAATATATTAAATAATTGATACACATGTATATAGCATAAAAACGCTCAATATTAGTAGAATCATATTAAGATGTCTTAAAAATTGTGTTTTATTTTATTTTATAACAATATTATTATTTATATTTAACGTAGCAATATGTTGAAGTTATATTTCTATTGAATAAATTTAATTATTTATGTATTTATGCTCCCCATACATTTATATGTAAATATAAATTTAAATTCACACATATGTTTCTACATAAATAGTCTATGTGTATGCGTTCTTAAAATGAAGTTATAGAAATATGAAACCGTATCAAATAGCAATGTATATTTATATTAAATACGATTAACTGTATATATTTGTGTTTACTTTTCATGTTTTGTTTACTTACTCGAGTGTAGATAGTATATTCAGATATATTTATGAAAATACTATTCCTCGGGTTCTCTTTCTAGCTATCTCTATATGTATATACAGTACTGTATATACAGAAGGGTGGTCTTGACCTTCCGAACAATTTGATTCATCACCGAAAAAAAATCAATAAGCTTATAAATTGTAGAAAAAGGTTTTCTCTTCTGAGAGATAATGAGATATAAATATTGAAAGTTTTGTAAATTCACGTAAAACAAACATTAGTCGAACAATATAAATTTGAGAATGATCATTTAAACAGTTCAACTTTTAGCCGTTTAAAACAATAAAAGTACCATTAAAGTTCAATTCGAAAAGATCGCCTTTCAGGTATCCAGAACAATGTTTTTAGCACTTGGACTAGCCATTTATCGTAAATGACATCACAAAACTTTCATTTCTTATATCTCGATAAGGAAAGTCAACCAGAAAATATCGATATTATTTATATCTTTCCAATAAGTAAAAAGTGAATTTTTAACTAGGAAAAAAACATTTTTATATATATTTTATTCTTATTTTTTAATCTGAATATGTATTAAAATTATTACTGAAAATGTTAAATTAATTTAGTTTTCAATAATAATATATATAGCCTATGTAAACTAATTGTGCAAACTAATTGATATTCATAGTATTAAATTTTTAGTATGCAGTAGATATATTGAGTTTTAATATGCATTACTGGCTGTTGTAATTCATTTGTATATTTTAAAATTTATATATTGGTTTAATTATATCTTTCTGAAATTATATACAAAAATATTTTTAATGCTAAATTAAATTTCTAGTGGATTGTTTAATGTACAGTACAAGTAACTTAAAATTATGCAAACTTATTTAATGTGTGTAGTAAACTAAATTATAATTAATGTTCTTATTCGTATAATTCAAATGAAATTAAACATTATTTTCTTTATATTATACAAATAAATAAATAAATTAATTAATTAACAATAAAAACGGCTTTTAATTGAAATTAATAATGAATTTTTATTATTTGAAAAACATTTTTAATTATTTAAATTATAATATAATAGCTTTTTTTATATTTAGTATTTTTAATTTTTAATGTGAAATAAACATAAATTAAAATTAAAATATTCAATGAAAAATAATAACTTGAACTGTTTTTCTCTTTTACTTTTATTGTGACAGTTTCTTTCCTTAAAATGTCACTTTTCTTCAAAAAATAATCCCTTCTTGAAAAAACCTTCTTAAGGGGATTAAATGCCAAACTCCGCTGGCACCATCTAGTGAATAAATTACAAATTATCTTAGCTAGATAAATCGTTTATTTCATTTTTGAAGTCGTTCCGGCTTCTTTTCAATTTTTAAAGCTTTTTAAAAATTGAAAATTCTCTTTGTTATAAAAAAATATATACAAAAGAATCAATTCATAAAAATCAGCAAGCTTATTTACAAAGTAATCGATTTTATACGCCAGCATAATTTATTTGCAAAGAAGTTTGTAAAAAGAAAAATAAGAGGAAAAAGTTAAAGAAAAAATAAAATAAAATTGAAACGATAAACAAAAGAAAAATCTGTCAAAATGCAGATAAAAATTGTTTAAAAGAAGGGACTTCGATAGTGGAGTACTCATTGATTGTGTCGTCCTTCCGAGTGCAAAAACATTTTCTTAGCAATGGGACAACGTGTGGTGTTGAGTAGTCTCAGATACAAAGATGACTCCGGTAGTTATTGGGACATAATGACACCCTCTGTCATGTACTTAGATAACAGCGGCACTTAAACTGTCGATTGCCAGAAATATATTGCTCAGTCAGCCCGGACACCTAGTATTAAGGAAACTGGATGTGTCCTTTGTGATGGATGACTCCAATATCGTCGCTCTCGACACGTGATCGATGACGTCATTACCACAATCCATGTATTTTAATAATGTAGACTTTCAAATTTACAGCCATCTTTGTGTGTAACGTTTGATCCTATCCGTTCTCCATCAAACGCATTTAATAAGTTTGCTATAAAGTTATTGCTCTCCGAATGTAAACCAATTAAACTTAATTCCCGTTATGATAACATTTTAATTACGTTCTTATTTTTATTTTTCTTATTCTTTATTTTATTCTCTCTCCTCTTCAATGTATTCGATGGTAATTAAATACTTACCCAAAGAAAATTACGTCGATTACGAAAGATCAAATACACCAACTAATTATCGTTTAAAGAAAAATTTATTTCGTTTCAACATATTACATTTCAGAAATTAGAATTTATTAATGTTCTGGAAAACATTTTCCATATTTTCTTTCGACGTTCCAAAATTCATCTTTAATTAAATCCATCCAAAAACTACAAATAATAAATTGCAAATATTCTTATCAAGATTATGATTTAATGCTTAATTAAAACTTTAATAATAATTATCTCTACTCACATCCGTGTCTTTTTCTAACGCAGTATTTCAAGCAATTGTGCTTATTTCTGAAATTGTTGGTATTTCCATCGCATCCCGAATAGATGAAAGCCTCGCATGTCTTATTCTTAGAATTGTAATACCATTTCATTATTCTGTCGTTGCATGAACCTTTTTTGGGTGCAAGCCTACAATTAATCCTTCCATGATCTAAATTGATTTTAAATAAAACCATTAATAAAGTTTAAAAACGTACAAAACCACGAACAAACTTAAAAATCGTTACGTTTTGCAGATACGAGAAGAATGTTTAGTATCAAAACTAAATACAGAATGGTCGATGATTTCATTTTTTTTTCTTTAATTCAAAATCAGCAATTTTCGTCCTCAATTTATATAATCAGACAGGATAAGCTAACAGGAAAACGGAATGAACCTATCTTTCCCGTATATAATTTTCTGCTTACACCTGTCATGTAAATGTCAGAGGTTATTAGATTTCGAAGTTAATATATTTTTAACTTTAAAAAAAGCTATAAAATGTATAACAAAATATCAATTTTAGTAATGTTTTAATATATAAAACAAATTTTCTATGCTATTCAGGATTAAAAAGAAAAATTGTAGCAAATGAATTGGTGAATTATAAAATGTATCAACAATTTTTATAGTTTTATGAAATTTAATTTATAACATTTAAAAACATTAATATTTTATTATGCTACTCATTTATATTGTAAATTATAATTAATGATTACTGTAGAATAACGAATAATCTTCTTTTTTTTTTAAAGTAAACAAACAATACATTAAAATATAAATTATTTTTTTAATATAAATCTAAAAATAATCAGATTTTTATATAACAGAAAAATAACTGCTTCCACTTCCTAATTTCCGAAAAAATTCTATAAATCATCTTCTTTCTTGACATTTTTCAAATATCATCATTCAACACAAATTACTTCTTGGATTCTAGTATTCTAGTCATCCGAAGAATTTTGTTTATTGCACAAACCTTCTGAAGTATTATCCGTGTCCATTATCGAGTTAGAAACTGACTTAATCTTAAAAAACATTAATAGCAAAGTCAAGCATCGTCTATGTCCATCATGAAGTTACTTAAAGAATACTAATGGAAGATTCTCTTTCCATTAATATATAATAACATATATACATGTGTTTTATTAACTCAGAATAATGAATCTAGATTTGAGAATATTTATTCAGTAAACTTTAGATGATATATATTTTAAATTGTAGTTTTTATTAATTTTAATTTCCTTTCAACAAATATAGTGATGATGATGACGATCTGTGGAAAGCTAAGAATTAAGTTAGGGGCTAACAAATAGAAATAAATTATATTAGTCGTGTGTATTATTATATTTTATTATATTTTACTTAAATAAAGCTACAAAAATTTGTATCTGTATTATATTTAAATTAAAACATAAAAAACACCCAATTTAGCTTTATTTTTAATTAAAATTATATTTTTAGAGGGTAGATTATAACTCCTTTATCTTGTCTTGGCTACACTAGTAATGATGATGATAACCTATATTTTTTTAAGCGAGAAGATTAATAATTATGCTAAGTTTAACAGTTACTAGATGGCTGTAAGTATAAAATATGTATATATAAATATTTTTCCTTCTTTATATGAAAAAATTGAGTATAAGAAATAATTTAACGATTTAATTATACTGTTAACTCAACCATACAAAATTTTCTTGTAGAAAATTCATATATCACATTCTATTAACAGCAAAAAAACAGTTGTTATTCTTTATGTTCATAATGAAATTGTCTTTCTTTAATATTTATAATTTTTTTGGTATTTTCTTTCTAATTATAATAAATAAAATACTAATGAAGCGTGTAAAAAATTTCGTGGCTATCTATTACAGTATTTATTTATTTATAACCGTGGTAAATTAACGCATCTATCAAAAAATAAGTTTTAAATAATTAATAACTTGTACATGTTATAAATAATTTAATATTGTTTGGATAATTTTTTATTGTAAAAAGAGAATAAACAAGCTTTAATTTATTTTAATTATATATAAATTGATATAAATTTTTATGAATAGGAAAATTGAAGAGATAAAGTGGATTTAGTGTCAAGTACAATTTTCCACATCAAGGCCTGAGAAAGCACAGATTGTGTTAAAGGAAAATAAATTTCTTTCTAAAGATACTCTGACTGTAAAGAAAAGTATGTTCTTTCTGTAGAAAATATATTAACAAAAACATTTTTTGTCATTATAAAACTTTTGTGATAACCTCCAAAAAAAGTAAATTAATTTAGAATGATCGAAGCTTCATTTATATGATGTGTTGAACGCCTTTAAATAAATTACTTAATGTTTTATATCATCGAATGTTATTTATTTATAAAAAATAATTCATTAATTTAAATTAGAAATTGTTTTCGGTTACTATATTTATTGTTATTGTAGATTATTACCTTATATTTAATAAAATATTGAAAGAAATATGCGAGTATATATTTTTCAATATTTTGTCTGACAGTTTATTAATTTAAAGGATTACTTTGGTTATTTTTAAACATTTCGCTAAAATTTTCGAGTGATCGATGGTTCTTCACGCCGAAAAATTCATCAAGTGAGACAAGAAAATGTCAAAAACAAGTTTCGGGTTTCTTCCGGCGTTTATTCACTGAAAGGTCAAAGTCAAGGTTAATCTTTAGTTGGATGCGAAAGACTTTTACGAGTTTTCATTTTTTTCCTGTATAAAAAAAGGCTTATTTTTTTTTGCTATTAAAAATATTTATAAGTAAAAGTTAATGTAAAATAATCTTAAATTNAATTTTTAACTAATTTTGAATAATTATACAGAGTGTAAACATTTCAGAAGTTCTATATTGGTATTGATATCCTTTAATTACACCTTGGTCATTTTTCATAGATAACATTAATAATGTGTCTAGTGATGGAATTGGTACCAGTGGTATGATTAATTAATTATGTGTTGTTTACAGGGGATATTGTGGACAAGAATTTGTTTTAAGTCTCCAGGGATTGTGTCTCTTTTATGCTTCTTAGCTCTTTAGACAGAGATCTGTATCATTTTGCTATTATCTAGTTTATTTAATCTTTTCTATTAACTTTCAAGAAATAGAAAATTAACGAAACTTAAAATCAATTTATAGTAATTTTTAATTAGTTAAAAGATTAAAAAATACACAATTTTTTATTTAAAATATTCAGAATTTAAATAATTCCATTAATAGTTATGTTATGGGCCTGTTATATTTATAAGAATATCAAAGAAAGTAGTTATAAAGAAAAAAATAAGGCAAAAGAAGGAAATATAAAAAAAAAAAAGCTGAATGAGAGCTTCTTCCTTTTATTGATTCTTATGTAGCTTTTGATATAACAAGTGTATTCAGACAGCATAGATTCGATACGAATTTGTTAGAAAAAATTAGGAGGATGTAGAGGAAGTTATTTACAATGGGACTTACTCTTGTATTGAAGGTTGCTCCATCTTAAAAAAATGAAACGAAAAGATACACAGGTAACTTGTATTTCATCTATCTATACAACATATTTGTAGTATTTTATGTATATCTGATATAAAAAATATTTTAAAAGTGTAGCGAATTATTTTGACTTTTCTTTTATATCTATCTAAATAATAAAAGTATATATATAGTCTATATATTTATTTTAATGGAAACCATTCTTTTCCATATTTATTGCAGTTAAATAAGATTTTTCTATTAGAAATATTTATTAAAAAGTTTTAGTAAACAATGCCTGAAGCAAGACAATGAGAAATATTAATACTGAAGCGAACAGTTCATTTTAAAACAATTTGCTATTTTATATTATCATAACCAAGTAACAATCAATATTTTAGAGGATTATGGTTATTTTGCAAAGACTTTATTATATATTTTCAAAATATATTACATGTATAAGATCATTTACATTGGAATGTTCACTCTGAAAAATGAGTATCTTGTAAGTGGTATCATCAATAGTGTCATATATCAAAAATATATGATACTGCTTCTTGTTGATATCCACAATTAATAATTTTAACTCCTATCTAGTGGAATAAAAACAAACTAAAATAATATTTTATTTCAATTTATCTGAGGAGTCATAATTTATTAGAGGCCATTTGGGGATCTGGACAAAGTTATTTCTATTATATTTAAGAATACAATAAAAATAATATATAATAATAGTCAATATATTTTTTGAATTTAGTAAAATAAAATTTAAAATATGTTTAAAAAATATTGATTTTTATTTAAATTTTTAATTTCATTATTTGTAATTTATTCTGTGGCATATTTATTTTGTATCAGCGCAGAAAGAGATTGGGGAATTAAATCTAATTTTGGTAAGGAGTCGACAAGCAAAACACGTATAAAATGTAAGTTTATTTTGCGTAAAAGTTCTGATTTAAAATAAATTAAATGCGAATTTTTGTTATTTAAATCATTAAATCAATTTAATATTCAACACAGTTATAAAAAATAAGAGTATAAATAATTACGTTTTAAGTTTTTCGAAATTAAAAACAGTGCTTCAAATGCATTCTAATTAAAATAATTTGATGGAATTAATATTAATTAAATAATAAAATTAACGTATATAATAACAAAGTTATTATGTAATTAATAAAATTAAATATCAAATATTAAATATTATTTGGTAATTGGGAAGTTTCGATTAACTATTTATTTCTTTCTATCTTTTCCAAGAACGAAACTTAATTTGTAGATACAATTAAAGATACTAATTAAATTATTGGTTTATTTAGGATTTTACTAATGTTATTTTCTTGCAGTTAACAATACTCGTTCAATATAACAGGTGCTCCTTTCTTAAAAGAGAAGTTCAAATAATATAAATCAGTACAAATAAAATTAAATTAAAGAAAGAGTGTACTAAACTATTTTATTTTTAAATTTATAATTTAAATCAGAGCTTTTTAAACGCTATTTTAATATTTACTAAACACCAATTTAAACTACAAAATATTGTTAACAAGACTTGTTCAATGACATGTTATAAAATACAGTAGAACCTCGATTATCCGGACTAATTGGGGATGAAGATAATCCGGATAAGGAAAAATCCGGATAATCGAAACAACTACTTTAATTTGTCTTTTAATGATAATACAACACGTTTTCTTTTCGATGACATATCGGTAATATTAAAAGTAAATACTGTATTTAAATCGTGATCAAATTTTCAAGAAACAAACGTTCGTATTGAATTTGGACTACTACTGACCAACGCTAACAGACTACCTATTGTTTAAA